TTTGATATTATTATGTTTTATTAACTAGACCACTGGTTTTTTAAACCGCACCTCCTAGTGGTTAAAGCACGTTATTGAATTTAGTTGTTGAATAAGTTATATTTGATGAAAACATTTAAATATTAAGAGTAGCCTACATACAAAATAGGGGTCAATGATAGAAATATAGAATAGAAAATATCAAGAAGATACTGTAGTGATCTCTACAATAAAACAGTTTAGTGCAGGACGTCCAAAGATATTAACAGGAGGATGTGCAAAACAGACAAACTGATAAGGTTGAATTTTACTCAGGTGTAACTAAAGTCTGATTTAAGGGTTGTTTATATTTCACATCATTAATCAGAATCTGCAAAGTAACAAAAATAAATGTAGTAGAGTAAAAATACCAGGTTAACCTCTGAATTGTAGTGGAGTAGAACAAAGTAGTACATGCTGCTGTAACAAAAACATTTCCCAACTTGGGATCAATAAAGTATATCTTATCTTAAGATGATCGATGGCTATACTTCCATATTTGCTAAATGTGCATCTGAACCTTGACAAGTGCATGTTTCAGGCTTATCAATTAACAACAGGAGGGGTCGCAGACATAAGACCAGCTGTTAAATAAAGCTCTTCTGACCTTAGCTGTCATGTGGGTATATTAATGCTGCCCATTATGGACACAAGCAATTTTCACCCATGTATTAATTATATGTTTTAAATTTGATAACACCAATGTGTTTCGTATCCCCTAAACCTCCAGGGATGTACACAGTTTAATACTGGCAACTTCTAATTGTGGGAAATACGAAAACGTCTTTTAAAACTACAATTCCCAGTAGAGACGTGCCATAGAACATGTTGCGAAACACACAATAGCCAGCATGTGTAATTCTGGGGGGGAGGGCTGGGCTGGACCCGTCCAAGTCCAGTTTTGGATAGTCTGGCATGGTTCCATTCCATTTAAAAGAGGTGTTTGACACTCGGCGTAACCTTGTCGCACTGCCACTCCAACATCCAGTCACAGAGCTTGAGGGCTAATCACGGCGGATGTTGTAGTCCCAAACGATAGCTGGGGATTCTGGGTAGTGTAGTGTCTTCGGAAACTCTGTAGTGTCTAAACTCCGAAAAAACAATTTGTTTCTCCGAATCGAAGGTTAAAAACACAAAAGCATTGTACATAATTTAAACCAATCAATATTGTGTAATTAACAAGGATAAACTGATGTTTTTTAGTGGATGAGTAATGGAGATATCACTGTGTAATCATTTGACAGTGTGGGGAATACTTCCGGTTTTATTATGAAAACTTTGAGACCGGAAATACTGTTTTCACCCACTCTAACTTTACAATGAAGCTGCCCCACACGTTCTCCTGGCGAGATCTCAAATCATCTTCGTATATCTATCAAACTGTAGATCCTACACATCCACTGGACGTAGATTATAAAAGTACAATATACACTTCTCGCTAGAAATCTAATAAAAAAGCATTTTAATGGCCAAACTATTCCACAATTTAGGATTTTCCAGAGAGGGTTATTTGTGAATAAACGACCCTCCGGAGCGTTTGCGATCGACAGGAGCATGTTGTTTCTTACACGACCACTAGAGGTGCTACACTTTAAAACGTGACTCTGGGTCGTATTTAGCTGCTGAACAATCGACCTATATGTTCGTTTTTTGTAGGAGGACAGGCTGGTTGCATAATAGGTGATTTTTAACACATACGAGGAATTTGTCTTGGTGTGTTTTGGTGCAGACATAAACAGACGTAAAAATAAAAGACTGATAAAAAACGTTTTAAAGAAAACTGTAATAACGTTCCAAAAAATGTAGCAATATTTACATCAAATATGGTTGAAATGTAGGTATGGTCGTAGAGATAAAACAGGAATAAAATAGGTGCAGTTGCAATGTGCAGAATTCAGATGGATGTGCAGTACTGTCAGTATTAGGATGAAGTATTAGATTGCATCCTATTTTTAGCCAATCGAATCATATGCCAGTACAAGCTCTAGTCAATCAAACCGCTGCTTGTGTGTCCGGGGCGGGAGATTCAGGTGATTGGTTGTTGGTCTAGCGCTTCAGACATATCCGCCGGCAAGCTTCAACGCACGCGGGCGTGTGTAAGCTCCGTGACGCGTCCGTGACGCGTCCGTGACGCGGCCGGAACGCGGCCGTAACGCGTCCGTAACGCGTCCGTAACACAGCGCAGACGGACCTGGTGGAATCTAGGGCTAATACTAATGCTAATAATGCTAATGCGAGGAAATAAAATGGCAGCTTGGCAAAACCTTTTCAGAGTTTTACGGGGCGTGGTTTGCAATTCGCCCAGCCAATCAGAAATTGGAACCTTTTTCTCCACAGGAAAGTCCCTACTCTCTAGCAGGGACTAAAAAGGGGGGAAAAGGTTCGCAAAAAAGTTCTAGCTCCAGATCTTTTTGGTGTGAACGCAAAATCCCAGGAACTATCGGAACTATTTCTGGGAAAAGCGCCTCTTATTTCGAGCTATTTTCCAAAATCCTATGGAGAAATCCCATTGACTCTGAGACGAGGGAACCGGTAGTGGTAAAACTCACTTTCGGGTTTTAGGATGCGTCACTGCACCACTCTATTGCTTTCTCTTTGAATCTGACCAGTGGCGAACCGTCAGGGCCTTCAAGGTATTCAGAGAATACCCTGGAACACTCAGATAAAATAAACAAAAAATCGATTTAATTATATAAATAAAATGTAATAAAATGTATATACAATGAATAAATCACAATCGTATCTGTGTTGTTGATCCGTAATATTACAGTGTTACGTTGATTTGTTTGTCCTTCTCGGACCATGCACTACGCATTTCAGTGGTGTTGTGTTAGAAAAGAAAGCAACCAATCAGATCTTGTTCTGGGTCTCTGGGTAGAATATCCTTCAACCAAGGTATTCTACATCCTTGATCGAATGCCCTGGCCGTTGCACTGAATGAGAGCATACGTTTGGACTGACAGTTTGATCAACCAATTACATATTGATTTGTAGCCAATGGGCCTTTTCTTTCAGAGTTCCCCTCGGTTCCAGGGTACTGTCTAGAGAACAGGGGTTCCCAACCTTTATTGTGCCAAGGACCGGCAGATACATAAAAAAAAAATCGCGGACCGGTTGTCAATTTTAAATGATTTTAATATTTATTCACCACCAGCAGGTAGCAACAGAGGCTAATTGTATGTAACAGCCTGAACAAATACTAGAACAATATGCATCCAAAACATATTAACAACGTTTAAAAAAGAACCGGTGTCGTTTTATGGTTTTTCGGAAAAACGGAAAACCAAAAAACCGACGTTATTCAGTTTTTAAACCAAAACGGGAAAACAGATAAATCAACATTTTGGTATTGTTTGTATGATTTACGGATAATCCAGTGATGGGAAAACGAGGAGAAGGCGCATTATGAAGGAGGTGTGTGTGTGTGTGTGTGTGTGTGTGTGTGTGTGTGTGTGTGTGTGTGTGTGTGTGTGTGGTGCGTGTGTGTGCGTGCGTGTGCGTGTGTGTGTGTGTGTGTGTGTGTGTGTGTGTGTGACACTGGCATTTGTTTTCAGAAGATATTATGATAGTGACGTTCGTTCCGGTGCACGTCCGACAGCATTTAGCACTATCGAGATTAAGATTAAACTAATTTATTTTGGGAACACCCGCATATAGGCTACCTATGGAGTTAGCCAGATGTGTGTAAATTACTGTTCATGGTCATTTGAAAACAAATGCCGGTGTCGGACAGACACAAACACAGAGCTGAGCTGAGCAGAGCACACACACACACACACACACACACACACACACACACACACACACACACACACACACACACACACACACACACACACACACACACACACACACACACACACACACACACGCACGCACACGCACGCACACACACACACACACACACACACACACACACACACACATCATGCGCCTTGGTGACTGGACATCTCCTTCATAAAACTAATAAAAGGGGGAGTAATCGGGCAGTTCGATGGGTGTAGAGTTGTGTAGAGGTGTGTGTGGTTAACACGTAGCAGCTTGCAGTCACTCGCTGTTCTGATGAAGGTAAACACAGCGAAGGCGGTGCGTAAAAAGGCGCAGCTCTCGGCGCGCTGGTGCTGCACTTCTCAGAAGCGGAGTTACACGTCCCGCTGCCTCCTGATGCTGCCTGCAGCCATTTCATGAAGTGAAGGAGGTTTTCCTTCTATAAAACAGCTGCGGGCAGCAGATACCGTGAGAGTCCCGGACATGAATTCATAGATCAAGGTAGACTGGTTTACTCTCCTGTTTTGCCAATCCGGTGCTTAAACAAAGGCAAGGCAAGGCAAGTTTATTTATATAGCACTTTTCAACACAAGGCAATTCAAAGTGCTTTACAAAAAAATGAAAGACATTAAGAAACCGATCCGCGGACAGGGGGTTGGGAACCCCTGCTCTAGAAGGCCCGCTAGTTAACTGGCTCGAGACAGAGGATTTAGATGAATGCGACGAAGCAATTCATGCGGTTTTATTGTTTTTAACGTTGAAATGACAAGTTCAACAGGTGAAGATGAAGTTGTTGCGGAACTGTTGTGAGTACCCTTTTCAAGACGACAATTCAGTGAAAAGATGGACATTATAATGCCGCGGGGGGGGGGGGGGGGGGGGGGGGGGTGGTGTAAGGTCCAGCTGTGATAGACACGGTTCGCCACTGAATCTGATATCCCACTTTTTGTTGTTGTATATTCACTGTTATTGCAGTGGCACCATAACAGGCTATGCAAAGAGAACTACTTCAGTCATCTATTATATTTTCTCTTTAGGCCTTAAGTAAATAGGCTCTATTACTTTCCCCAGTCAATGATTTCTAAGCAAATGGGAAATAAACTCTCTCTTTACATTTTAACCAAACAAAGTATGTGTAAAGGATTGTGTGTTTAATTAGTACAATATATGACAAGCACAAGTTTAATTTGTGGGCCATATTTCATTATGCTATGAATTAACTGAGGGCCGCTTCAAAATGGGCCTTAGGCTGCATTTGGCCCCCGGGCCGTAGTTTGGACTTGTTCTTAGTTGTAATCACTGTTGACACGGTATGGCTGCTAATGAGTGGTGGAGTATTCACAGCGTGGTTTGTTCCACTCGTATTTGCAAAGTATTCACATACAGAAACAGTGCAGTGGAGTCATTGAAACTATAAGTGTAACATTGGATGCAACCAAGTTTATATTGTTGTTATGAAAATCCAATTTAGCAGCCTATATAAAATGGTTAGTGCATGTTTTAAAATACTCTAATTTAATAGTTTTGCAGCACAAATGATGCCTCAATATCCATTTTACTTTTTTCCATAGTAAGTCTCCAGAGCAGCTATTTGTTTTTAACAGAAAAGGGGACGGAGCGTATTGAGGAAGGTCAGACACTTTCACATTTGTCACCATGCATTGATCCCTTCTGGTTTATCAGTAACTTCCTAAACTCTGTGGAAAACAAACTACACCTGATTGGTTGTTTGGGAAAAGGTGGGATGGCAGTGATTCTGGTGTCAGACAGTTTCTGATAGTGCTTCTCCTGTTATTCAACCTACATATGATGTGGGCTATTTGGAACATTTTCTTTTCTCTGATAACAGTTTTTGGGAAGTTCACTGGGCTTTTTCATCCTCTTTCTCCTCAGAAACTGACATATAGGTAAGCTGCCCAATGCCTTGTTCAACAACTGTTAGTCTGACTAATGTCGTGTTTCAGGGTAGTTGAACATTTCAGCATATTTAGATCAGTGTAGTTTGTTTCTTTACTGTATTGTTTACTCACTTTTGTTTTGGACAGGCACCATGATTATGGGACTCAAGAAATTCGAATGACTTGCATGATTTAATTGAAGTAATTGACAGGAACTTAATGACCTTGTGTTTGTGTGTGTGTGTGTGTGTGTGTGTGTGTGTGTGTGTGTGTGTGTGTGTGTGTGTGTGTGTGTGTGTGTGTTTGTGTGTTGTAGGCGTTATTTATACAGTACATTGCCCCTCTTATTGCGTAACAGATGACCCCGACTATTGGATTATTTCACAATCACTGCAGACATTGCACCCACCCATGTTCATTTTTTAACCACCACAAAACCAAACAACGAAATCCTGCTCAACCCCCCCTTGTCTTACACTAAAAACCCTCATTACCTTTGTGTAAGATGGGAAAAATAAAACAGAATGGAAATGTATAAAACATGGAGGGTGCTTGTGAGGAGCTGAAAGGAGTGTGCTGAGATGTCTGATGGCTCTCTGAGGAGTTGGGAAGAGAATCCAGGCAGATGGGACAGGCTGGATGTTTTCAGACGATGTGTCCCTTATATGTGTGAGTGTGTGTGTGTGTGTGTGTGTGTGTGTGTGTGTGTGTGTGTGTGGCTGCTTCCTTTGTTAAGTTTCAGTCTATTTCCATGACAAATGAATTTACACACTCACTGTGCCTCACACACACACACACACACACACACACACACACACACACACACACACACACACACACACACACACACACACACACACACACACACACACACACACACACACACACACAACACAAAAACACACTTTAACTGATTGGATATGACTCATGCCGGTATTATTTACTCACATTCGCAATCAATTTTTGTATTAACATTTCTGTTTTATATTCCATATTAGTGGGAGCTACAGTTCATTGTGCATTTAAAAAAAAATACAATTCCTTTACTGATATGGATTATGGCAGAAAGGTTATTTAAAATAAGCTAAATACATTGATGGATGAAAAACAAATCAATAGAGGAAATAAGCAAGAATGGAAAAATACTTGATAGGAAACAAGGGATGCTTGATTATTCTGCATATGTTCTGATATTTGAATATAATTAATTGTCCGTTTTTTTGGTCAATTTATAGGTTTATAGGATATATTGTTGCTAACCTATCCTAAAGATAATGTTCCATGACACACGTTATCAATTTCATCTTACACATTACTTTCACGATTCTCTGACACTATTTTATCAAATGTGTCTTGCATTTTTTTATTTAAAGTATGTTAAAAGCATGTTGCATTTTTGGAGGGGCCTCATTGTCAAAACTAAGCTGTTGTGCATATGACAATAAAGCTTTAGAATTTTGAATCCTAAAGGAAAACAATAGGTGATCTGAAGAGTGTAGTGTGACATGTGACGTGTGTGAGAGAGAGAGAGAGAGAGAGAGAGAGAGAGAGAGAGACTAGGGGAGACGGAGCAGAGAGAGGCGAGAGGATGAGAGGACGGGAAGAGAAGAGAGATAGGAGAGAGAGGGAGAGAGAGGAGGAGCGAGGAAAGAGGAGAGAGGGAGGGAGAGGAGAGAGGAGAGGTGCCTGTGGTCAGGCGAGACAGAGATGGTTTTAGCTAATACAGTATGAGAGGAAGGGCAGGGCAGGGGCTAATAGGACCTGACATCATCCAGAGGGGAGGAGAGAGAGGCTGGGAGAGAGAGAAGAGAAGAGGGAGAGCTAATGCAGAGTGAAAGGGAAGAGCAGGCCAGCTCAGACAGAGAGGAGAGTGGCATGAGGCCGGGACAGTGTGTGTGTGTGTGTGTGTGTGTGTGAACGGGAGAGGACCAGACAGCATTCCGTTGACAAGGATTTAGGGCTCCACCTGGAAGATTTTTTCTCTAGTTTTCTCCCCGTCTTCCAATACACCTCTCCCCCTTCCCTTTCCCCCCTTCCCCTCTCCTCCCCCCTCATCCTCTGGCATCCTCTCAGCTCCTGCTCCAGGCGTCTCCTCCGGGCATGCTCCTTAAGCCAAAGTATGGCCGCTTTCGCAACGAGTCTGTGACCTCCTCCTCCGGCGACCTGATGCACAGCTTAGCCATGAGCGGCAAAGTTGTGGCCACACCAGTGGTCTCCGTCTCCGCCACCAGCCTCCCTCTGCCCCCCCTGCCTCATCTGCCTCCCCTGGATCACAGTGCCAGAGCATCCTCCTCCTCCTCTGGGGCCGCAGCCCTGGCCGACTCCCCTTGCCTGGACGGGGATCAGGAGGCCACCACCACCTTCTGCATGCTCATCCCCAGGATGCCCCAGTGGAAGTTCTCCAACTCGCTGCTCAGCCGCAGCCCGTCCAGTTCCAGCTCCAGCAAGGACTCGGGGAAGGCGGCTCCTTCCACAGCCTCACAGAGTTCCTCCCCACACAGGCGCAGTGTTGCGGCCTCCGCCAGTGGCCCGGTGGCCAGCCTCGCAGCGGTGCTTAACTCCTGTGACCCCGTGTGTGTCACCCCCTGCTCCCTGCAGGCGATCCGGGGGCAGAGGGCGGTGGCAGCTGCACATTCGGCCGGTCCAGGGGGGCATGGGTTTGGGGCTATGGAGGCCATGGCGAGCCCCGGGGGTTCCAGCAACTCCAGGTCAGGAATGAGCCGCCGGACAAGGGTGGAGGGCATGTGGCTGGGGGGAGAGGACTTCCCCCAGAAGGGAAACTTCATCCACAAACCCACCCAGGGCTGGCTGCACGCTGACAACACCATTGCAGGACCAGGGGCCTCATATATAGTCAGGGTAGGTCATAAGTTGTTTTTTATGCATGCACATCCACTTAAATTGTTGTACATCTAAAAAGAACATATTTTCTTTCTCTGCTGCTTACATATAATCAAATCAAACTTCATTTATATACTTTTCATACACAAAGGTAACTCAAAGTGCTTCACAAAACCAATACATAGATAATTTACAAATAAAACCAATACTATTTCCCCTTCCAAGGTAATAACCAGAGTAACAGCTTTGTCATTACACACATATGTATTTATATATACACATCCACATTCATACATACATAACTGCTCACAGGAATCAGTGGACAATATTAATGAGTCCTTTAAAGGTGTCTCTATCTGTGTGTGAAACAAAAGGACACCTCAGTGCCGGCAGCTTGTTATGCAGCACATGTGGCGAGGGGCTGGGGAATACATAATCCAGATAGATGGCTTGGTAGAGACTGCGTCAGGGCGGGGAAGATACACCTTGGAATGATGTGCACAGACTGTAGTGAGGAGCATTATTTTACGGCAGAAAGTGGATCTAACGTATGTTTTATGTGGATCGTGGGAGTGGTCTTTGTGCGGTTTCTGGATTGTTTACATTTATAGGAGCCTATGTTAACCATTAAATGTTATTTACAATCCGTGTGCCTTGTGAATCCCAATGGTTACTGTAGTACAATTATTTGAGTAAGCTTGGGTTACGTTTTTAAAATTGATCGCAAACTATTTTTTTGCTATCATGAAACTAAACCAGGCTGCAAAAAGAAATAGTTGGCTGTCCCACTAGAGTAGAAGGGATATGAAGAGATATCTCTATCTGTGTGAACATGACATGTGTTTACAAAGGGTTACCATCCCAGGCAGGCTGCTTGATGTCAATGTCAATGATCTCTCCCCCCCCCCCCCGCCGCCTGTTCACCTCCACCCCTCTTTACTCTGCTCTTCCCCCTCTCCTCAAAACTAATGACATGACGCTTGATTAGCCCAGTCTGGGGCTCAAGCACGCTTTCTAATGCCATTATACAGGCACCATTCATTCGTATATTCAATTACATTAAGTCACAGCCATTTGCATCATGTGATGCGGATGGGGATGGGGGGGGGGGGGCTAATGAAGACCTCTCCTCACCATGCAGAGCTTTCCTAGATTCATAACAAGTGCTGCTTTATGTGTGATTGATATCTCAGTTGATTTGCAGACAGGTTATTGTTAAAGGGGCGCCACAATAATGTGATGTGACCACTGACCTGCACTGAAAACTGAAACGTTGACTATAAATAAATGTATGAGGTCAACAAATGTCACATATATTAAGTTTAATAGTATAATACTAAGTTATACATACTATGTTTTGCTTAATATCATTGCTTTCAACTAAACTAATACAGTTGTGTGAAATCTGTTGATATAATACATTTAATTCAATTCAATGTTTCTCACTGTGTGTAAGCTAATGATTGAGATCAGAATCAGAACACTTTTATTCGTCCCAAAGAGAGGAAATGCACATTTGTAACGGCAAGTAAAGATAGCCTAATTAAGAAGCATTAACACATTTCAGATAAAAAGTAGAAATTACACAATTTACATTTTAGAAAATACACATCCAGTAACAGTTTTGAGATATAGCAGCCTGGTGAAAGTATACAAGGTGGAAGTATATATTGCACAGCTATTTACGGTTTATATATACAGTATTGCACATAAGTAGTATTGCACAACAGGGGTGTTATAGTCTTTGTTGCATTTCACAGCAGCTGAAGGAATGTTAAACGTGCACTCTGTGGTAAATCTATGCAGCGAGGAGCACTTGCTGCATGCATTAGTGTCAAAGTGACAGTGGATTTCTGCTGCACTGTGCCTTTTTTAAGCAACATAGCTACCATAGCACACAGCTCTCCCTCCTCTATTTCTGTTCTCCCTGACACACAGTCACTCCTCTGCTGGGAAAGACACAAATATGATTCTTAGTATTGGTTTTCTCCTCTGCACCGTGTCTTTGTTCACACGGCGTGTCATGCTCTGGGTCTGGCCTGCATCTGCCATCTCTGACAGCCAGGATACTGCAGCACACAAAGCGCTGCAGCTGCCAGCTATCATCAGGAGAGCTATAAAAACTGACTGCTATCTTTTTATGCTGTTCTGTCACAATCTGGTGCACAATATTTACCAGCCCATTTATTCTGCATGGTAATGTTTTGGTCCTTTCATGGTGCAACGAGTACATGGTGTTGCTCTGAAGAAGGAACTTTATTCCACAGTTTGAAAATGTTCTTTGGCAACATGAGATATACAAACCAAACAGGCGTGCATGTACTGAACAAAATTGAATCATTCACCATCTACACTATTCAGATACGTCCAGCTGTCCTCATCCGTCCATCATGCATCCATTCGTCGAAACACAACGCACGTGCTTCACCAAGGTTTTTGAACGGGGATGCCAGTGTTATTAGATTTCCGAGGAATGCTTCTCGCGGTGTCCCTGTGGCAAAAGGAGTAGTGTCCAGGAGAATTGTCCCAAAGGAAGCGCGAGCAGATAGGGTGATAGAAGAAGGGATGTGTTTCATCAGCAGATGTGTGTGACAATGGAGGCATTGGCAAAGAGAAGGGAATGAAAAAAAGAGAGACAATTTAATTTACTGATGGGAGACTTCCCCTCGTCTACAAATCTTGTTAAAAAGCGCTTTAAGCTCTCTGGCTCAAAGCTCTCTCTCTCTCTCTCTCTCTCTCTCTCTCTCTCTCTCTCTCTCTCTCTCTCTCTGTGTGTTTGTTTTTATGGCTGCCGTGTTCTGTCTGTTGCCGTCACTAACTGGAAACTGCACTAAATACGGGAGTGACTGAGCCAAAGTACGGTTAGAAAGGATGTCAATTATGTATCACCAAATTAGCTTCACCAGGAGTTTATAAATCAATCCAAGATTTAAATTCAATAGGCTTTATTGACATGGCATGCGTTAGACTTAGCACTTTTACAATTATCAACAACATTGAATGAAATGAACAACATGGAAAATACTAAATTAATATAATATGAATGAAAAACAGGTGAAACATAGAATAAGGGGTCACTAATACCTTCCATAACTAATGATAACAATAATAGTGTGATTAATTGTATGTGCTTTATGTTTTGTGTTATTATTAATGAAGACAGTGGGGCATGGTAAGAAAAAACGTTTTAATCAGTTCCTGGAAATATGGAAATATTCTGTATAGATATTTCATGAAAACGGCAGGTAATCTGAAATAGAAATGCAAAGTCATACATGTTGCTCACCCTCCATCTTGTCATGTAAACGTCACATTATGCAAACTACTTTTTAATTTAAGTCCAAGACATCTTATCATGCATTGATTGAGTCCACTGAAAACACTCCCATCTCTCAGCCTCCCCCCCCAGAGGCTTCAGAAGCTGCAGGTTGAGTTTGATGTGGAGCTTTTAGTGCTGCTAATCTAGTGAAGGTGCTATTAGCACCCCAACCTGACAGCCATTAGGACGCTGCTCAGCTGCTGCTCCTCACCGGAGTCCTCTGTAATGGCCTCTATGTGGATATGAGTTAGATTATGAGGCATTGTTGGGCATAGTCATGCGTACTAATAGAGTAATACTGCAGAAATGTCTTTGAAAGAAGATTTGTAATGCAACTCAAATGCTGTTTTGATCAATTTGCCTCCAAATGCAATACTTGCTATAGCTACATAACAAATCATATAGATGCTTATTTATATGCTTATTCATACATTTCGCTTAAATGTTTCTTTTGTTTCTTTTTGCAGTACATGGGCTGTATTGAAGTACTGAAGTCAATGCGCGCCCTGGACTTCAACACGCGGACGCAGGTCACAAGGTACGCTGTTAACCCTCACTATTGGTAATGATGAGTCAGGACACTCTGATCCAAGATGTATAGCGTCAACTGAAGTATCAGCCACTATGTTATTAAATTACACGCTAACGATGGAGTGTCAGCACTTTCTTGAAGTAAGAGTAAGAGGAACTGTGGAGAAATGTTGTGTTTCATTAACACAATATTGAAATCCTACAAGGTCACTCAAAATATTTCCAAGAAGGTGCAGTGAAAATGAAATGCCAATGCAATCAAACAAATCTAAACAAAGGTCACAAGGTTTTCTGCAATGGCAGCGATGTAGTGTTGTGTGTCCCATGGAGACAAATAGATCCACTCTATATGTGCTCACTGACGCTACATGTATGTATAAAACTAGGCCTCAGGGTCTCAGTGTGACGGTGTTGTGTTGTTATGCCCTACATGTGATGTTATTGTTATAAAAGCCGGGCTCTTTGCAATCCTCTGCCTCATGGGAGGAGTGCACTGCCTCTCCGTCTCTCTCCCTCCTCTCTCTCCTCCACAATCGATGGGCAGTAATCGGAGCCTGCCGTGCAGCCAAGGCTTAAGTGCAGGGGGAGGAGGCTGCAGAAGATAGAGTGATGGAGATGGAGATCTATTATTGATGATGTTTACTAATGACTGTGGAAAGCTGCAGCGGCCCCCCCCACGAACGCACCCTGCTGGATAATGTCTGTGGTTGAAACTTACTGAGGAGGAGGGGAGGAGGGGAGGAGGAGAGTTAAAAAACAAAACAACAAAACAAACATTAGCAAAGTGAGAAACTATACTGAGCATTAGACCAAGTGTTATAGTGTAGTCATGATTAGGCCCTATTATGCACATGTTCAGGTTCATATCAGTATGTAGTGTCTCTACATGTCTCCATGCTTTAATGTTCAAAAAGCTCTTTATTTTTCTCATACTGTCTGAGCTGCAGCACCTCTTTTCACCCTCTGTCTGAAACCAGAGCCCAGTCTGCTCTGATTGGTTATATGGCCGGCTCTGTTGTGATTGGTCAACCGCTTAGAGATGTCCCGCCCCTTATCACGTACAATGTGTTTGAGGGCTATCCAATAGAAGCGCGAGTGTTACATAGTGTTATGGAAGTAAACAAAGGAGTCCAATGGAGGCGTTTCAGGCAGGGGGGAGTGTGGGAGAGAAACTCCCTCTGGAGGGAACTCCAAAACACCAAAACATTTATAACACCACAGGATGTGAAAGGACATGTATGAATGGCAGCTTTAAAACAGACTTCCAAATTGTGCAGAGACGCTAACGACACGCAGTTTCTGATTCCTTAGGGAACATGGCGATCTGTCCCACACGGCTAAAAATCAATGATTGATTTGTCTATGTGATCTAACACATTTTTAACATTAGTAACATCATTTGCTATAAATTATTTTTTGCTGGGAGCAATTAATAAGCAGCATTTTAGAAACAAAGCCTTTCCTTTTTCTCGCCTAGCTGACTTGTACAAGTTCATTTTGTCCTTGAAAACCACAACAACACATTCAGTGTGTGTCAGAATTTCACAAATGCCCTTCAGATTGAGGAAGGTGCGTTTTCCCAACAGTGCCCTCTGTGTCCGGGTGTTAAACAGCAACAGCAGTGATAATGAGGCCTGGCATTTTATGGTAGGGAAGATAACGAGTCTGCAGACAAAAACAACAACAGCCCATCCCTCTCCTCCTCCTGCCTTTGCCCTCTCATCAGCATGAGTCATTGTGGTGTTTTCAAAAATCCCTGAGAAGACCTTTACTGGAGATGGGGCCCGGTATCTCTGCTTTTTAAATATTTACGAGCCACTTGATAGGGGCAGCTGGGTTCTTGACTGCTGTCCTCTCTGTCCCCTGGCAGCGAGCTCCAGCTTCAAATCCACATTATGCCTCCCGACCGCCATCAGACACACGGGGGACAGAGGCTTTAAACGCCCATTAGACGGCCATTCCAGGAGTTATAGCAGCTTTACTGCAAAGTTGTAAAAAAATCTGCCGAGAGAATTGCACTGTGGCAAATAAATGTGAGTTATGATGCCATAAAGAAGCGGTAGAAGGCTCTAGACATTTTATATTTGCCTTAAATTATAGTGTTTCTTCTTCCCTAATTCAACAGGAAGTTAAACAGGAGTTTGATAAACAACCACTGTGAATGACGGCTGGTGGTAAGAAGTGTAGTGCTTCTGAACAGACCTTTTTCCTGACCTTTGAACTGTGTTGGGTCTGTGACCTGTGACCTTAGCCCGAGGGAGGAACACACAGCTTCTGTTCATGTTTAACCTCAGGATTTACCATTTTTGTGTTGCACAAGTTTCTTGTAGACTGAACAATGTTTTAAAGAGGCCCTATTACGCTTGTTGGGGTTTTCCTTTTCCTGTAGTGTGTTAAGGCTGAACAAGGACGTGGAATCAAATGCACGATGCAGAGACAAACAAAGTATAAAAATAAAGTGTTTTAATGTAGACAGGTCATAACACACTGAATACATAAAGCAACAAAACAAACACTCAATAAACTGTCTAACCTATACTATCAAAAAACTACAAAAACTATTTACTTAATCTAACTCTATGGACGATAATAACTCTATGGACAATGACAAAATGATCTTACGCTGGAACGCACAAGACAATCTGGCAACGAGACAGGGGAAGACGAGAACTATATATACTAGACAGACAACACCAGGTGAAGACAATTAGACAATCACAACAGCGGGAAAACAGACAAGGCAGAAAACGTACTTTAGACACATGAGGGTAGACAAGACCATCAAAATAAAACAGGAACCTATCTAAACACATAACATGAAACCTAAACTAGGGAACAATCTTAGCAGAGCCGTCTACGCACAACATAGTGTTACATGGGTTTGTGTGCATGTAAATGGTCTGCAAACATTAAAAATCTCTCCTACACATGTGCCCTGCCTGAAATGCCTCCATTGGATTCCTTTATTTACTTCCTAAACATATAACACTCCTGCTTCTATTGGCTAGTGCTTCAACCGATTGCACGTGATAGGCTAAGGGGCGGGACATCTCTAAACGGTTGACCAAACACAACAGAGCCGACCAGATAACCAATCAGAGCAGACTTGGCTCTGATTTCAGACAGAGGGGGAAAGAGGTGCTGTAAACATGTCACAGTTGAGGGGCAAAATACTAATATGAACCTGAAAAAGAACAGAACATTCAAAGCAATACATATCAGTTGTACTCCTCACATTGTTGTCACTGGATTGTTAATATCTGGGTGTATAGTTAACAAGATACAGCTGATTTGTTATTTGTAGTGTCCTTCTAGGTATTAGTTTAGTAGTCAGTGTCTCCCACTATAGTCTAACCTTTGACCTCTCTTCATTCCCTAATTAGGGAGGCCATCAACAGGCTGTGTGACACTGTGCCAGGCGGGAAAGGAGCATGGAAGAAGAAGGTTAGTAGTAAACTTTAATCCTATTCTCCATGTTTTATTATACTATACTAACTAAATACTAAATTGTTTAATTTATGCTAGAACTAGATAGGTTTAAGATACTGCTGTGGTCTTAAGACACTTAAAACTCTCAGTAACTGATTCTTGTGCGATATCATTTCCACTGTATTCTTTTTTGGTAATTCCTCATGTAGACCACGAACAAAGCTCTCCAGACTGTGATGGGGAAGAGTAACCTGCGATTTGCCGGCATGAGTATTGCAGTCAATATTTGCATAGATGGCCTCGGTCTGCTCATCCCTACCACACGACAGGTATGATGATATAACTAGTGTGAGTATACTGATATATTCGCCCTAATATGCAAAATAAATTGCTTTGTTTCAGAATTATACAAATAATCCCTCCCTCCCTGAATCCCGAATATTTGAAACAATCACACATTTGACTCTGTTTCGTTAATAATAGGTGTTAAAGTGGTGGTAAATGATTGCTTAGACTCATGAAATAATTAATTAAACCTTGCTCCGGAAGAATTTCAATGTTTACATGATGTTCAGAAGCATTTCCTCATTTCTAAAAACCAACATTTGGAAAATAATAATTGCACGTTTCTATACAAAGCTTAAAAAGTCTTAGTGTATTGGCAAATCTTCCTAACCTAAATCATTTGATCCTTGGTCTGTACTTTATCGAAACTATTTTTTATTTTGGCATCACTATTGTTCCTTTCAATGTGTTTTTGTATCCCCATCTTTTAACAATGACATGTCAAAGTAGAATATTGGAAAAACCTTGATCCCTTTTCTCTCCCAGGTGATAGCGCACCATCCCATGCAGTCCATCTCCTTCGCCTCAGGAGGAGACACAGTGAGTGCAGCGTTTCACTCCCAGCTCTCTTTTACGTTGTTGGACATTTTAGGCAGGCTGCACATATCTGACTGGATTCCATTTGACTGGTTTCCAATCCCATGACCATAGGAATCAATGAGGGCTTTCATTATATACATCTAATTGAATGTATCCTCCTTTCTTTTGCAGGACACGCCTGATTATGTTGCGTATGTGGCCAAAGACCCAGTGAACCAGAGAGGTATGTCCTGAAAGGCTTCTCCGTCAGCTTCCCTGCCTGTTTCATAACCACATAAAAAGAAAATGTGACCTCTTGTTTTGTCTCCTCCAGCGTGTCACATCCTGGAGTGCTCGGACGGTTTAGCTGAGAGTGTCATCAGCACCATCGGCCAGGCCTTCGAGCTGCAGTTCAAACATTACCTCCACAGTCCTCCCAAAACCATGATGTCTATGGAGAGGTAACGTGCCGCCCAGACACACCATGACCTCTATGAAATGATGAAAATACTTTTTTTCGGAGGCACTGTCCTCCAAAGTCGTGAAATAACATAAGATAAGATTTACCTTTATTCATCCACGTGGGGAAATTCAGGAGTTAAAGCAGCAAAAGAGTGGGAGTGACAAACAGGAGAGTACAGATTAACACAATGTAAAAGGATGGTAAAGACATATATCATTGAATTCTAAAACAAATAAGTGCTCAGAAATAACTTAATTGCATAGACTACTATTAGAGTACTGAAGTAATATAATTTAGACAACAAAATAATTGTTTAAATTCTTTGTATGCAAATGTCCATTAAAAGTCTAAAAGTCGAGTTATTTTAGGAAGATTGAATACCCAGTAGTGATGTGACGTTCGCGAAGGATCCGATTCTTTTGAACGACTCTTTGGTACGAACAAAGGGAACCGAGTCGTACTTGGTGAGAGCCGTTCTTTCTATCGTTGGTTCACTGCCTGCTATAAATCCACTCGCCTTTAAAGGAACTTTCTTTCCTGAATGCAAACTTGCCGTATAGACGATGGCACAACGCATGCTGCTTGAGTAGTAGTTTGGCTGCTGAGAGATGTAGCAAGTTATACATTTTCTGTGAGTAAAAGTGGATTTCTGGCAATAGAGTGAATCATTATCCTGGTGATTATTTCGCAGATAAAGCTATTAACCCCGCCCCCTTAAAAAAAAGGGCATTACGGCTCTTTGAAGGGAGCCGTAATTCCAGTCACTAATACCGAGAGGACGTGAAGATGGATATCGGCACTATGAATCATTCAATAAAAAAGCTTTTTCCACCTCAAAAATCTAATTTCCTGTATAACAGATTCCCTTGTTATTCATCATAAGTAAACAATGATAGTTTGTTCCTGATTTTCCTCAAAATAAATCTGATAATATTGATCCTCACAGATGAACCCTGAGGTGTGGAGGATGTCACTGCAGACAGAGGACGGAGTTCAGACTGTTAGTGTTTTCTATTCAGATGAATGTCTTCCTGCCGCCAACAGCAGCTCTGAGGATCTATTTATATCCAACAGATTTATATAGATCACTTCAGGATGTGGGGATGTCATCTGATCGGACTCAATCCATTTCAGAACCCAGATGGCTATTCTTAAAGAGTATTAATACAATAATAATAATCAACATTATTGTTTAGAGCAGGAGTTTTCAAAGTCAGAGACCGACAAAGCCCAGCCCCCTTAGTTTACTTGATACATTTGGCTAATTTCCTGAATGCCAATATGCTAATAGTTATGTAATTTGATCCCATAGAGATGATTATGAGCAAAGATAGCTTAATAGTGCTGTTTGACACAATTTCAGACAACAACAAATAAATAAAAAGGCCACTCCCAAGGCATTTGTTCGTTTTTGACTGGTAAAAAGTGGTAAAAACAGTACAATTCCCCCCCCCCCCCCAGAAAATAACTATCTCTTTAACCAAATCATTCATATAAAAACTTGTCTATGGGCTCTTCTCTTAAAAACTAATCTCATATTGTTTCACTTCCTGTCTCTACTCAAACAGTTTGGTGCTGTGCTTGAGAGGCTGTTCTTTAAAAAATATGTTTTTTTTATAGAAGCTGTGGTACCACTTGTGCAGAAACAATAATCAGATGTCATTCATTCGTCATTTGGATTGTCTATGGTGTCATTTTGTACCTTGTTTATTCTGTTAGACAACATTTATTGCATGTCTTTCAACCCTGGGAGTTTTTCCTTATGCTGTACAGTCTGTAAAGCCCACTGGGACAAAGGTGTCATTTGTGATATTGGGCTATATAAATAGCATTTGATTGATTGATAGAAATGTATGTTTTACACCCGTGACCTTCTTCAGGTCTGTAAGGACGGAGGAGCCGGTGTGGGCGGAGGAGGAGGACTCATCTGAGCACAACTACTACAACAGCATCCCAGGGAAGGAGCCTCCCGTCGGGGGGGTGGTGGACTCTAGGCTGCGGCCCAGTGGATCTCTGCTGGGTCACATCCACACACAGCCTCAGAGCAAGACCGCAGCACAGGTGAGGAACACCAGGCAGGGCTTCAGAAACAACATTAAGTCAGGTCAGGTTCTGGATGCACTAATGTTATCACAGATTAAATTACAGCTACATCTGGTGATCATCAAGCAGAGCAAGTCCAAGCTTCATCTGATACTAGCTCTTTGATATCTCCGTCAAAAGCTGGTGACTGATATGTTTTCCTGCTCCTTCTGCTGTTTAATGTACATGCAGGGGTGGAAGAGGTAACAAAGTACATTTACTCATAGATTTTAGAAATACTTTAGTACTTTACTTGAGTATTTCCATTTAATGCTACCTAATACTTTTACTCCACTATATTTAAAAGGGAATTCATGTAATTTTACTCCACTACATGTATTATAATGTAGTAGTAGATTTTGCATTAAAAAACATGGGATAAACTTTTAACATAATCCAAAATTAAACTACTGGATTAACTGTTTAAATTGAAGGGTAAAACTATACAATATATTATAAAACTATGCTTGTGTACAACAGTAAAATGCTGCTTGATGCAACCATGTCAACACTCTAATAATGTCACAAATATAATAATATATCACATGTGGAGGATATTTTTCTGCAGAAATAGTACATTTTCTCTTGATAATACTACTGTATTTTACTCATAATGGAGTATTTTGACATGAATGTATTGCTACTTTTATTTAAGTAAAGGATCTGAATACTTATTTCACCTCCGATCATAATCCAGTAGTTTTAGATATGATTCTGAAATGGTATAATGAGTACTTTTACTATTGGTACTTTAACTTGATGTCAATACTCCTTGGATACAGGGCTTTTACTTGTAACAGAGTCATTTTACAATTTAGTATCCCTACTTTTACTTAAGTAGGAAATCAGAGTACTCTGTTTACATGGATTTAAACAGCAGGAGCAAGACAATAAACTCCATCGCTGTCTTCCTGCCTGCACCGTACAGTAATTGCCGAAGATAGATGTGATTACATAAAAAGCCTCGCGTTGCCCAGCGTGAGAGAAATCATCGCTCTCTGCCGGCAAAATATGGTGACATGCTGTGGCTAATGTTTCAAGGAGAGTGCTTCAAAACTACATTATGTGGGGGACAAGAGATGAGAGAGTTGTGCATGCAACAGGTAAAGAGAAACAAATGTATTTAGGGTAGTGATGGGAATAACGGCTCTTTGAAGGGAGCCGGATCTTATGGCTCCGTTCCTTTCCGAGAGCCGTTCAAAAGAGCCGTTTTTCTTTTAAGTGGCGGTGGAGATGATTTCTTGACCCTGCTTTAAATTATATTTTGGCTTTACAAATGTTGCACTCCGCTTTATCATTGCCTATGTTTTTTTTTTAAGTGCATCCAAATGCTGCTGTTTTTTCGCGTTTGGCTCATTTTTTCACCCGAAAAGTAGGGGCGGGTCTTCACGGAATACGCTTGGGGAACAAAATCCAGCTGTTTCACTGTTCACATAAAGGCGAGTGGATTTATGGCAGGCAGTGAACCAATGGTAAAAAGAACGCCTCTCTCACCAAGTACGACTCGGAGCCGTTCAAAAGAATTGGATCGTTAGCGTACGTAACATCACTAATTTAGGGTGTGTTTCTGTTGTGTGTTTGCAGATGGGCTCACCAGCCAGGAGGGAGCAGACCTCTTACCCCCCCGGGCAGCTGTGCTATGAGCTGCACTGGGACACGGAGACCACCAGCAGCTCAGGTGAGACCCCCTGTGGTGCTGCACAGGTACAACATCTGGAAATAAACATGATGTGTACTTCTCTCACAGAAAATGTTTACTCTAGTGCACGTCCCAGTCATCACTGAACGTTGTGCCCTGAATAAAACTCACTGACCTTCTCACACAAACACAGTACCACCAGTATTTGGATCCTTTCAAAATCACCTTGATAACATTATTTTTAGGATTATTAATCTGATAAAGTACTTTGAGGTTTAATCATCTTTCATAGGAGCATCAAGATTCCCTGAATTACATTTGGATCATTATGATAGTTAATCCTCCAATAGAATCAGAAGTGGTAATACAGTCATAATTAGGGATGGGTATCATTTGAAATGTATCGATTCCGATTCCGGTTCTGCTTATCGATTCCCCGTTTCGATTCCAAAATTGTAAAAGAAAGAGGTCAAACGTTTAGATAACAAAAATATCTTTATTCATTTAAGCTTTAACTGACATTTTTACAAATAAAAAATATACATGCAATACAAATTTATTGCACAATAGCTGTGCTTTATTTTAACTGAGCTATGCCTGTGGCAAGCTATTAACAGGCATTACACTGTGCCTTGTCTTTTTATTTTTTAGTGTAGTGGAGCCTCACTTTAGAGCGTTTACCGCGGACCCGGTGGAATACAGGGTCTACCGCGTTTAGGAACCGTTAAGCAGAACCGAAATTGTGTATTTTGTATGGGTACCCGGCATTTTCTTATCGGTTCTCATCTGGAACTGAATTTTGGTTCCCAACCCTAGTCATAATACAATTAGAATGAAGATAGCCAAGTTTAATTTATTACCAATCTATCTACCTATAAGTACAAAAAACAATTGTCAACTGTCCAATTAGATAAACCTGAAGATTATAATACAATTGTAAGACTTTTGACATAATACATAATATATAATGGTCAAGGTTTAGTGGAAAAAACTGCAATAAAGACCCAGCAGCAAAAACAATTATTGTAAGCTTTCCTGCTTATTTTTTAGAAGATTATTTTGGTGTGGGTATCACATATTATAAAGTCGATCTAGTGGTACAAAAACTGCATTCTCATGAGTGGCTTCATTCATTTGATCTATAATTATGAAAGAATCTGACGATACAATACGCATCATGATACAGGGTTAGAAATAAAAATAGCTAGATCCTAAGCAAGATGGTATATTGTGATTGATTCATCCTTAATCATGCAATTAGCGATACACGTCTTCTTCAATACATGCCACACCTGGATAAATTGTCTTGGCTAATTTATGGAGTTTAACAATAAACAGAAAGTAGCATCTGACATATAACGTTTTGATTTCAACCACTAGAGGACGCCAAAACACTAAACAAGTTTAGCACAAATCTAAAGATACACATGACACAAACAAAAACACTTATCCAAGTCAAAGATGGTGTGTTTAAGGCTCCTTTTCCCCTCAGGTCTGACATCAGACGGTTACCTGTGTGCTGACGGCCAGCCTCCAGGCAACAGAGATTACGAGGAGCATCAGTACGTGAACACCCAGAGTCTGGAGAACCTGGAATCACTGGCCAACGGATACAGAGGGTCCAGGGTGCCCGAGAGTCCAAAGAAAGACCTCTTTGACATGAGTAAGTCCTGAGAGATAGATATAGTAAAGATAAGCACACTTCTTATTTAAAAAAATACTGTAGAGTGACGGCATTTGTATTTGTGAAACATTGTTGTCCTTGCAGGGCCCTTCGAGGACGCCCTGAAGCTCCACGAGGCCTGTGGTGGAGCTGTTGGAGCTGCAGGGGGAGGTGTGGGGGTCCTGGAGGATCAGTGGCCCAGCCCCCCCCGCCGCAGAGCCCCCGTGGCCCCCAACGAGGAGCAGCTGCGCAGGGAGACCTGGTACCACAGCCGCCTGAGCAGGAGAGACGCAGAGAAGCTGCTGGTCAGAGACGGAGACTTCCTGGTCCGGGAGAGCACCACCAACCAGGGGCAGTACGTCCTGACAGGCATGCACTGTGGCCTCCCCAAACACCTGTTGCTGGTGGACCCCGAGGGCGTGGTGAGTCAAGAAGCAAGGAAATAAACACACCAGAAACATGTCTGCCAGTTGGCCTGAACACAACAACTAATTTCCTTCTTCTTCTTCTTAAACTCCCACTGTACATTTTCCATTTATATTCAATCTAATATTCAATAATCAATTTCTTGCACAATTAATATATATATATAATATCCTGCATTATATTTTGTTACTGTACATTTGTATTTCCACATGTATATTTTCCACATGTATATATTTTAACTTTTTAATGCTATTTTATTTTTATTTCAGAAATATTTTGGATTGATCATTTCTAGTGTCTTAATTTCTCTTATGTACATTGCCTTGTCTTTTTATGCTGCTGCAACACAAACATTTCCCAAATTGGGATTAAAAAAAAGTACTTATCTTATCTTGCTGTCCTCATTACAGGTCCGGACAAAAGACATGTTATTTGAGAGCATCAGCCACCTCATAGCGTACCACCTGAAGAACGAGCTGCCTATCGTGGCAGCAGAGAGCGAGCTGCACCTCAAACAGGTGGTCCGGAGGAAGCTGTGAGACCCCTGGCCCTGCACGGTAAGCAGGCAGTATATTAACCATGTGTGCAATAACTAAAAGGATTGAATGAATGGAAATGCAAAAATGTATGGGGCAGTGCCGTGGATGACAAATACCATTTAGAAACTCTTTATGTTAATACATAATTAGATGGATATAACTCCCATAAAGAAATACATGTTTTCAATTTGCAGGTTGTTGATGATTTGTGAGGGTAAACAATTGGAACAAATTAATGTGACATAGCATTTCTGCATGCAATACAATGACAAATCATCTAGTGTTAGACATGCGACTGTTGTCTACAAGCTCACAAAATTACAAAATTGTGCAAAAAATATAACATTTTCTGTGTCGTCTATATTTCACAGCTGTTTTCAAAGGTCGCCATGCAAAAACAACACGGAAATGAATGGAATTAATAATCCCAGGATGGATATTCTTCTGGAACAAAGGATGTCACTGATTTCCATGAACAGTTCTTCCAAGTAGAGTGTCTCCTTTTACTTTCTCTGCCTTTTGCCCACAAGGATCAACCAAACTATCCCTCGCCTATCATAAACTCCTCAGCATGCAGCTATTAAGCTAAAACAACAACCAGAATCTACAATTTGACAGATTTCAGACCCGGAAAATTGTCAAATGTCAAAGATTTAGGGGACATTTGTCTGTAGAGGACCCAACTTCGGGAAATGGAAAAAGGATTTGAGGTGACGTCTCAAAAAGCCTGTAAAAGTGAAGTGCTTCCAGTAAACCACCGCCTATCACACACCGGACAAATCATGGATATCCCCAGAACAAAACTGTCAATCTGCTACAGACACTATGTACAAATCTGAAGATGTCAAATGACTCACTGGGTCATTTCTATGTGAATGTAGGAAATGAAAATGCTGCAACTCTAAAAGACAATTTAATTTGAATGTAAAGAGTGTTTGTTGTTACGTGTTTACAGGTCTGCAGTGCCTGACTCTGAGATGGCACAATGGAAACAAACCAAGCATGATTAAGTGCTGAATTTATAAAAAAAAAAGCCACATGATTGTCTGCCTTTTTATGTTTCATTGCCGTTGCGGGAAGGATTTCTGATTCTCTATGATAACCAAGGCACCAAAACCCACTTAAAGGTCACCTATTGTGCAAAATCCACTTGTTCATGTATTTTCTACATCAACATGTGTCCCCTCTGCGTTAAGAGATTCTGAAAGTTTCAGAAAAAAATATTCTCTCTCTTTTTGTCCTGATCCATTTCTATAAAAACCTGTCTGAAAATGAGCTGATCAGATTTTGGCCACTTTATGATGTCATAACGATTTTTTGGCTTGTGTAACCATTAGCCAATCAGCAACCAAGGTAACCCCCCCACCTTATCACCTGCATCTCCTCCTAGAGCACCATTGTGTTCTTTGTAACCAGATATCTCTCAGAGGGGCGTGGGGCGGGGCTCCTTATTTTCATCTAAAGTAACAGACAGAGAATCAGCACTTTGGAAACAGGGCTGAAACAGAGGGGATTATGGGATGCTGCAATGATCCGTTTGGTATTTCAGCCAATCAGAAACATGTTTTGTATATATCTGAGACCTATAATATATTGATGAAAAACAGTATAATAGGGGACCTTTAAGAAACGCATACTATCTTTGTATCGACAGTCAACTAGACATTGACTTGAAGGTTTGATCATTTACCATAAATATCTGTCATTCGTTTGCAAGGGCTGTTCATAATTTGTCAAAGACATGCTGTATGTGTTGTGTAAGCCTTCCATCAGACTCTACGTCCTATAGGTTACAAACTCAGTATATCCATGCCTGTATTTCCACAGCTCCTCCCACTTCAGTGCCTTAATAACTGCAGAGACAGGCATTTGTGTCAGATTGTAAATAATGTGCATTTATGCTCCTAATGCAAAGTTTTCTTGCCATGCCAATGAATGACTGAACACACTTCAGGGTGATTAAGCTCTTTTACTCATGAACAGTAAGCTGCTCTTGTTTTGGGATACATGTTTAATACTGTCTTATTGTGTCACGACTGTTCTTGTCTTTATGTGTGGCCCTCATAATAATCCCCTCAGTGATTGATGTAAAAGAAAGGGGATTTAGACTTGAATTTAAATCCTTTATTTGTCAGGGAAATGCATTACTTTATTAATTGTCCTTATCCTACGTCGGTGTCTTTACATGTGGATGACTTGCTCGTGTATATCTGCTCTTTGGCTGCAGTTACAATCCTCTTTTTTGCCAATTTAATACTTTAAATTCATACTCGAGGTAATCTACCTTCTGCATTTCCCTCTGATCTTGGCTGCAGCCTCACGAATGCACAGAGAGACGAGGCGAGGCTACAAGGCTTTTGGTCCAAATTATTACAGTGATTTTTTCAGATCCCCCTTTTGCTTTCTCAGGAATTTCTTGGATCTGTTCTTCTTTGAGTTACTTTAATGGCTTTTTTTGTCAATAAAACTGATTGAAAAGAGGGTACAATTCAAATGTTTATGTCATGTGTGAGTTATTAAATCTCCCGGCTATTATAGCAGCGCCACAGTTTAGCCCAGCTGTCCATGCACACATGCTACGGCCAAATTAAGACTTGTGATGACCCAAAAATAGACATGAGGGACAGAGCAGAAGCTGATGATTTGAAAAGTAATAGTTCACTCTACAGTATCTGTGAATGAATCGAGTTACAAAGAATAGGGTCGAGAGCAGAGTTTGTTTTACTTTTTTTATTACAACAATATAGTATAAAATCAATAGGCTTGTCACACAATCAATGCACCTGATTCTAACTCCTAAATAACCACTCACTATTCACATTCTGCTACCATAAACCCCTGATGTATACGTAGGCTGCTGTCATTCAACTTATCCAGCCACGAAGGCACTCTTTTTTTTTTAGAAGTAACACTTTTTACCTTTGCTTTCTCAGTAAAGCCTTGCTGCTGTTGTTTCAGTTACTGTATTGTACTCATGCAGCGATGTCTGAACACGGGTCAGTTGTATTTGGCTTGGTCCCACAGGCTGCTGAGCTGGAGCTGCTTCATGCTGACCTGCGAAGGGACTGGAGGAAGAGAGATTTGTAGACGTTTTAAGCTGCAGTGTCACTAATGGGACATCCTCAGGATTTGGAGTAGCAGACCCTGCACCTCTTCATCCATTCGGCCCTGTTGGGAAACACAGAGAATGAAAGATAACGTTTCTGCATTGTATTCCATGTTGGTTCCTATTTGTTTGAACACAGCTTGAGCCCTGTAAGATCTTTGTATGTTTACCCACTCATCCTTGCAAAAGAACAGACTAAAATATTGAAGTTTGGCCAAGGACAGAGCCACTTTGCCTTGAACAGCAGCACTCAAAAAGCATTCAATCTGGTCCAGAACAACCCTGCCATTGACCTCCATTAAAAGTGGGAAAGGGGGGCTAATACTACCATTGCAAATAGATGCCTTCCCCTTACGGTTAGCAGTCAACTAGCCACCAATCATGCTGACTAGCAGGTGGAGACTTCTGCTGATTATAGTGCTCATGCGGTCAGATTGCACTGATTTAATACAGGTTTGCAAGTATGCTTTCTCCATAGTGTCAAAAACAAAAACCCAACAAAGAAGTGAAATGCCAGATATTCACCCAGAATTGTGTTGAGCTGTAAAGGATTTAAAAAATGCTCATTCATTCTGAACATCATGTTTTCCTCCGCCTCTCATATATTGTACATAAAGGAGAATTAGACCAACTAAGATATAATTACTCAAAACAAATGAATGCCAATTCCAGAATATAGAAGCCAATCGTTTTCTTAGAGGTCAACGACACCGGAGCAATCTCTCATTACATGACAAAAAATAAACGTGTACATCTAAGTTGTTGAATATGATGAAACAAGAGAATGAGTTATGTTCCTTTCCCTGCACCGCTTCTGAAATTACATCCACTTTGTCTGGTACTGTAAGCAGAGATGGCATACAGCTTGTTCCTGCTCTTAAGTGTCTACACCACAAAGAGGGACAAACTTAAATCAAAGACTCAGTGCTATTCACAGTCCAGAATACAATTAATTAAAAGGCGAGATTAGAACATCTTATTGATCTATCCTGAGACTGGGTCCACTTATTCACATATTGAAATCTTCCCTACTCAACAAAGGACTTGATTTGTCCTCTGTAGGCATACGTGCAGTTAACTCACCTGTACAGCTGACAGTAAATGTGAACGGTACACAGTCACCACCTGTTTGTGCTTTCTCTCCCAATCCTGCCGACAGATAACACAAAATGTTACTGTTGTGTGAAGTGCATGTTTTGTCATTTTTATACAGTAAATGATAGTATATAAAAAAAAAAATTCCTCAGTCCACATGTTACTAGTGACAATATTCTCCTCACCTGAAGCTGCTGGGTGAGTATGGCGATCCTGTTCTGTAGTGCCATTTGCTGGCCAGGGTTATTTTGGTGGATAGCTGATGATGATGAGGAGGAAGAGGTGATGCCCAGAGGAGGAGACAGAGCTCCCAGAGCCTCTTTTAGCCGAAACACATCCTTGGACAGCTCTGTAATCTGCAGGGAGACACAGACATCAGTTTGGTGACCTGGAAGGGAGCTTCACCAGCAGTTGTCGGAAGCAGTGTTAGTTTTGTCAACAACCTTTTTTACATGACTAAGACGAGACGATGACAAACTAAAAATACATTTTTGATAATAAAAACTATGACGAAATGTAGATTTTGTTTTTGACGAGACGGGACTAAGGTGTTAATGGTGGACTATCGGACATTTTCCCCCAATTGTCCGTCTTGTCTGTCAAAATGCATCCCTGTCATTGGTTGAATTAGTTGGGATTCTGGGAATCTGCACACGGCACCCACACAAGTAAAGTGTTAAGAGAGTGAAATGTTGCTTTACGAATTTCAACACTTGATACTGTCACCTTCATTCCAATTTCAGATTTCCTGTATTTGCCTAACTGAATTAGTTTAAAGAGAGAAAATATTTTGACTAAAAGTTGACTAAAATGTAATGATTTATCATCGACAAAAACTGGACTAAAACGTTTTGAAATGTCGTCGATTAAAACTAGACTAAAACTATGAAGGATAAAAAGGACTAAAATGTGACTAAAACTAACCATTTTCGTCTAAAGACTAAGACTAAATCTAAAATAGCTGCCAAAATTAACACTGGTCTGAAGGTGCCATCTCACCTTGCGGTCCTTCTCCTTGATCAGGCCCTGGGAGTCCTGGATGCCCTTGTGGAGGTCCTGGATGTGGCTGGATCTCCCCTGAAGCTCGGCCAGCTGCTGCTGCACCGTGTTCAGCTGCGACTCCGCTGCCTGCCGCTCACTCTTGTTAAAGAGAGCCTCCCTCTGCACCTGGAACACCTGGACCAGTAAAACCACCAGTGGAACCCTGTCACTTCAGAAAGGTTTTTTATGATTGGTCAGATTTTCATTCAGATTTGTTCTGGTTATAGGGAAGTGGAGGCAGAAACAGGACCGTTGGATTTTGATATATAAAAGGAATTAACCATTGCTGCTATGGTCAATATTGAAAGAGTGAGAAAACAAAAAGGAAATAGACTCATTTTGTATGTGTTTACCTAAGGTATACCTGTGTTGCCTGTTAGAAAAGCGACTCCACTACGGTGTTTTTAACATTTCCGAATAAAAATCCCACGTTGCCTTATTTCCTGTTCTATCTTATGATGAACATACCCTCTTCAATATTTCCGGTTTTCCGAGTAAAATCTAAAATATTACCTCTTCAAAATGATTATTCTGAGTGTTTGCTCAGGGGCAAGAATGGAGAAACTAGCTCGAGTGCACTAGAATTTGAAAGTACACAACCGAAAAAAATCTGCCCCTTTCTTCAGACTTCCTTACAGAGCCCCTCCTCCAACACAAACGCGCACATGACCAATGAGGGCACGAGATGGAAGGCTGACAGGCAGGTAGGCCCTCCAGTTATCTGCCGCGGGCCGGCTCAGATAATTGGACTTGCTTTTTACTGCGCCACGGCTTCCACAGATGAAATATTTGTATATATTTATTGTCAAAGCATTTAATGTATTCATTGCTATCGGGATGTTAAGAGCATTCCATGGAATATAACAAAAAGTGTTTCTGAAGTGAATTACCTACCCCACCTTTAATGGTTAACATTTGCTTTTGTTGCCATGTTCAACTGTGTTTTTGTTTGTGACTTTGCAAGTATACTGCCTCATTTAGTGTGTACTAGTATGTGTGTAAGTATCAAGCATCTACACTGTACATCCTAATGTTGGGTTGAAGTTTTTGTAATAAAATGCTTTCTACTTTAACTCTAACTTAAATTACGAAGTAGATCAAAAGCC